TTTTCTTTTTGAGAGGAGCGTCACAATTTAGTTCCTTTATCAGTATTACACAATACTTACAGAGACTGTAAAGAAAGAATAAAGAATTAAACTGAAATTTTGAGAGGGAATTTGGAGGACAGACTACATTTGCCAAAATCAAAGTACGGTCCTCATATCCTGACAAACTACAGAGTTCAGGACTGAGCCCTGCAGGGAACTATGTTACTTCCATAAAGACTTCGATTAACACTTCTGAATAGACCTAAAAAGCTTTTAGATGTAAACCCCACCTACCTTTAAAATTAAATATTCGTGTTAACATTTATCAAACCACTATAAACACAGGAAGCCCAAGGATTTGGAAAGGATTAAAATCACTATTTGGGAGCTATTACTTTATCTCCTCTTCCATAGAAGCACATGCATGACAGTAACAGAAGGAAGCTGAACATGAGGCATATTTTTTTCAAACTTTTATGATCTTGCTGCACTGTTTCATTGTTCAAGTCAAGCATCATAAGAGAATGAAAATACTATTTTAAATGAAAGATGTTGTTAGTGGAAGTTGTGTTATAAGGTGTCAAACATCTAACGTCAAAATCTTGGACTGATGCTGCTGTCCCTTCCCTTATACCCTTCCAGCCCACTTCCCCACTGCATATCTTTAGAAATGCCATTTCCTTCAAAGCCAAGTTAATAAGGCCTTAAATGAAATATCTGTGTTCAAAAACCCTAGCTTGGAACTGAAACAGATCCTGCTAAGCAGTGCAGAAAAACTGAATAAACAGAAATATTTGCAACATCATTTTTCTACTTATAAGTGTTTTGTTTTGTTTTTCCCAAAATAAGAAGACATCCACTGCAAACTCCATTTTGGATGCATACACTCCAGAGATTCATGTGCATGAAAAGTTCAGTGTGTCCTATCAGCTGGAATTTGCCAGCTCCCCACAAACCCTGAGAGGTTCTGTGGAAGTTGAACTCTTCTCACCAATTGTACAGTGAATCTTAAAAACCTGTTCCTTACTTTTTCTAAGCAATGATTAAGTTAGGGGAAGGATCTAGAAAGGTATCATACCCTTCTGAAGTGTTTACCCTTGCAGAAAAGCAAGGTATGGTCTTGTAAATGTATCCATCGTGTTTCAGAGGAATTTTAGCAAATCTCCTCAAAGGTTTTGTACTGTAAATACAAAAAGAATTCCATCAACTAACTTCTATGGACTTGGCTTGGCCCACAAGAGCCCACAAGAGTTTCCACAGTAAGGAACATGCCATATAAAAGCTAAGTGTTACTTACATACTACATGATGCCAAAAAATCCAATTTCAACTGTAATTAATAGGTGTTAAAGACATTAAACATACCAGCTTCTACATGAAACAGACCAATAACTGACCATATTTGCCTATTTTGCCAAATTAAACATATTTTTTCCATCATCTGTATTTACATATGTTCTGATGAGTTTTAGCTAACAAACACAAATTTTGGGAATCCACATGTCTATCGCATGTCATATAATACTTGTATTAAATCCATAAGTCATATCATACTTGTATTAGAAGTATATGCAATGTGCCGAAAATGCCTCAAAAATAAAGAAACTTTGCACAGGAAATTACACGAACAGCCTGCTATTCAAGAATCCTACATCATCCTGAGTATATACCTCCTTGTTTTCTGCTTGGAGTATTTTTTCTACAGCTTTATCATGGATGCAACCAGAAAGAGTACTGTGAACAGTAATAATTCATGTAAGCAATAATATTGTTTCCTGCACTTTCAGTTGGTTAAAAGGAGGACTATCCTGAGGCAAAATACACTCTTGAATTATATATGGGAAGAAACATGAGCACTGCAGTACAGTGCAAATTCTGAATCGCCTGAATGTCTTTTTTTTTGTTTACATTGGAAATCTTTTAGACGGACAGGCTTTTAGAGGAGATTAAGGATGGAATTTACAGGAAATTTTAAGGGAAGACAGTGCCTAAATCCTTTGAATTTTAATGGGGGAGTCGTGCCTCTTACAGAACTATTTAAAAAAAAATTCTATTCTGTAAGGCAAAACTGACACAGAAGACTCACATAGCTATCTAAGCTCAATAAACCACAATTTAAAGGGCAATTTTCTGAACATTAACTTTTCACTGACTTTAGGCTTAATCTTATGATTTTTTTTATTTTAAAAATTCAGAAGATATTTACATTCCAGACATCCTGCCAGCAACAAGTGGAATACATCCTGTTACGCATGTTTCCTATCAACATAGTAAAAGATCAGGGCAATCATTTGAAATCCTTCGATTTCACTGCCAAACGAAATACTATGAAGATTAAGCATCACTACAAGCAAACAGAGGATGTCAACAGAGAATTTTAAGCTATTTGACACCCAGTATTAGGACACGTACAATAAAAATCAATATAAGTTACTTTACTACTCTCCTACTTTGCCATGCTGCTTATTTGAAAGCCAGTGGGCTTTCTGAAAGAAGAGCTTTTTCATAATTATTAAAATGTGATTCTTGTAAAAAGTGTTACTAACAAGTGGGAATTTTTAAAATAATTGCGTGGAATTTCTCTTCCCCATATTTATATTCATTCTTTGAAATATATAGTACTGAAAGCCAGATATTAACTTCACTTTGACAAACAGAATACACTGAAATAACTGAAGAAAATACAGAAAAAGAGTTTTAGCTCTAAAATAAATTTAAATTTAAAGTTAGATTTTTTTTAATTTTGATTCTCCAATTACAAGACAGTACCTAAACAACAGTTACATGTGAGTTTTTTTTCCTACAGTTTTAGAGTTAGATCTTTAAAAAATTTAGTTATAGTTATTTCTATAGTCAATATGAGTGATAATGTACAATAAGTTACAAGGAGCAAGTTGAAAAACAGATCCTGTGTTTTCAACTGCTGAGCAGGATATGAAGTGCGAAAAAATTCAATAAACAGAAAAGACAAAATGTAATATCTTCAGAATTCTCCTAAATAAGAATACCTCTTCTCCCCAGAAAAACAGATTCCTAGAACTGGACAGTAAATTCCTTATGACAGGGGCCAGAGTACAAAAGGACTGACTTAGACTCTTGCCAAAAGAAATAAAAAGATGAAAAAAATGCTGCAATACCTATAGAAAAGATTGAATATTTGGGTCTATAAATTGGAAAGCGAATGAAGTGCACCTTTGTAAAGGTAACATGAGAGGTGCTATCACATTTCTAAGAGAACGCTAGCTGACTCTTGCTGTGGAAAGGCGACATTAAAGTACAAGGAAGTTACTTGTATACAATATCAAAGATGCCAATTATTTTAATTATATTGTTTATACAACAAAGCAAGAGCTTTGTGATTGTGTGTGATTTAGTCTATTACTATACGTATCCTGTACACTAAATATTACTGCTGAAAAATTGTTTGTCTTAGCTCCCTATGCTCCTTTTTCTTAGAACTACAACCAACCATTTCTTCTGTACATGTCAAAATACCTAGCTTCACTGATGCAAAAGCCAAAACACCCAAATCCTACATCCAAAATTCCGTCCAACGAGGTAAGAAAGCTCATCTTAAGGCTTGTCAAAAAGTTTTTATTATTAGTGTTAGGAGTAAAAATCTGATGTTTCTATCAAATAAATGCAGTGTAGATGTGCCAAGAAAACTAGAATAAATACCTAGTTGACTGGAAATTTTCAAGTTGACAAGGCAACTCTGCTATATAGCACCATATATAGAATTTGTTGGAAAAACTAGCTAGCGTAAGGACTGAATGCTTGTTGTTGTGCTTCTTCAGAAGTGTATACCTTTTGATAGCCAAAATAATAATTTTCTAAAATGTTTTTCATATTAAATTGATGTCATAAGCTTTCTTAGTGCAGAAAAATAAAGAAATTATTCATCAACTGTACATGTAAGTAATCATGGGATACAATACTTATGAAGAATCTATATGGTCAAAAAAAGTACTAAAATTCACCCTGATCTGCTTAGATTTATCAAATTACATTGCATAGCTCAAAAGATAGCTTCTCATCAGTTAAGTTCCACATATGTACAGTATATTTGATATCAAACTTAGCTAGAGGGTATACTGAAATATTACACTAATTTGTGCAGAGGAGCTGACATGATGTACAATGGCCTAAAGCTAGAAGTTGAACCCCATGGGGAATGACAAAACACACTTTCAACAAACGCCTGATGTATTAATAATGGCAATCCAGGATTTTTTTTGTCAGTTAAATTGCTTGCAAGGACACATGTAATTAATACCACATACTGACTTTCACCACTCTTAAGAAACCTTATACTTTGGAAAAAGAATAGTTGCTTTCTATATTGACAGTCTGCTCTTTTCTGTTACCAAGCCTTACCTTAGAAAAGGTAATTTTATTTTAACAGTTCACCAATCCTAAATAAAATCACCAGGAACTAACATGCACCTGTTCACACAAAGAGCAATTTGCATGGTATTAGTTTTCTTGCCTATCATATCTGAAAGATATGTTTCATCTTAACTTTCCGAGTTTAAAAATCTGTATTTAAATTAAGCTAAACACCCTAGGCACACTATGGGAATTTTACGTGCTTTTGTTCTTGAAAACCATGTTCTACGCATTCCAGTAGGTTTGGAAAGAAGTAAGTTTTCCAGCTTCCAGGAATTACTCTTGGTCTTAAACCCACAAGGGCACAACAGTTCCAACTCCCTGCATCCCTTCGACCCAAAGCTTCTATTACACTAACACCGTTTATTAATAGAGCATGGGTAAGCAGAAAACACCCTAACTTATCTCCCAAGCCACAGCTATTTAGCCTAATTTGATACCTCCAGTGATACTCAGAGGATCGGGATTTAACTTAAGAACTATGTGGTTTCAGAAGAAGAAAGGAAAATTTAGATGTTAGAGTAAATAATGATTTATAAAAACACATTTTTCTACACATTGCTTCTCTACACATGCTGATGTTCCATGACACCTCTATCTCCAATTGACACAGAACGTAGTCATACATACCACAGTTTGGTGGTTAACTTGAATCACTTCATCCCCAGCATGGATTTTCTTGCACCGATCTGCAGGTGACTGAATTTAAAATAAAAGAGATGATAAAGAATACAGTTCTTACTGGTCATCATCTCTCTTTCAGCAGTATGATTGCTAAGCTATGTAAATCAGGTTAGACTGATAATGACATTCTACTGTGAAATAAAGAATTAAAGAAATATTTAATAAATCAATTCATTGTTGTTGGAGAAAAATAATCTGTACTATTGTACACAATACAATCAAATGTTCAGAAAGGTATGAATATTTTTTTATTAAAGGGTAACCAAGTCCTAAGGATTTCTTTTTAATTTCATGCTGCCAAAAGAGTTCTTTAACCTGCCTGATATCTCTTGAGCCTTGAAATTTTGAACCTATCAAGACTAACTGGCAATTCCTCAAAAACAAACTTCACAATATTGCCTTTTTATTCTACAATGTTTCAATATGTTGCAGAGAACTTCAGTAAATTACTGTTCTTCAAACAGTACACAAGGAGAGAGGATCAGGTTAGGTACCAGCTAGGAAGATCATATAAGTTACATGGTAACTTAGTTTCTGGGTCATTATTAGGGTGAAAGAAATGCAACCAGCATCAAAATCCTACAAAGATCACACTTTCAGAAAGCAAAGTAGTTTTCTTTTTTGCTTTTGCCTCAAAAAACCACCCCAACAACAACAACAAAAAATCCAAACTAAAAACACCACAACAAAAATCCCAACCCTCCCCCATAAAGTGACATCCCCCCCCAAACTTTCCCTTCTTCTGCCTTCTATATTTACAGTAGACCAACTGTTTTCTGAGGGAAATACCCCTATGTTTAGAGGAAAATAAGTTCCTTCAGCTTTCCACAGAGTGACAACGCTTTGATTTTTCTCTCAATACTGTGGCTGCCAGCCTATGAAGGCACTTAATCAACTTATAGGTATAAGGTGAGACTGACAGTTTGAAAAAAAACGAGTTGCTCAGGAGCAGGTTTCTGAAAAGCTACTATGAACTTTACAGAAAGGAATGAAATTAAATTCATTTTCAGGTGAGATAACAGTTCATCTAGAGAATATGCTCCAGGCCTGAAATGTGGACTGTTTGTAATAACCTATGTACCACATCCCCATTCAAAATATATGTCCCATAGCTATACCATGACTTTTTAGTACAATTCCACATAATTCATGGCCTAAGTTAAGGACAGTCTTTAAATGGAAGATATCCAAGTGACCCAATGAAAGAAGGGTCACTCATGATTCAGTCCTAGGAGACATTGCTCAGAACATCCTAAATCAAGCTGGGCTGGTAAAAGTGTAATTTTACTTACATAAAGAACAGCAGCCTTGACTTTTTGGCACTATTTCAGCATTAAAGGCTGAGTGACTTGGGGAAAAATTTTAACACTGGTGATTATGTTCTAATGATCTATCTTCTGCCTGCCATTTCACTACTCACGCTTACTCATTCATACCTCTAACAATCTTTATAACCCTCCTATGTAATACTGCTATTTTAGCTCAGATGTAGTTACACCTAAGACTTTCAAAACGTCAATGCAAGTGAATCTTGTGTCATTACCCTTGAACTCTACAGGACTGTATTATGATACAAACTTTCTCCTGTATTGACTTCAGCACTTGCAGCTTAAATCTTGATAAAACAGGTATTTTGTGTAGCAGTTTGCCAAGCCAGTAAATATGGTCTGAGAATCTTCAAATTGGAAAAGTCTACTTTAAAAAAACTCATTGCAATTATGCCTCGAACACACTGCAAGGTCAGGTAAAAATCATTTCTACAGGAGCCTCAAGGCTGTGGTCTTATGAACAGGTTGCAACTCTTGTTCCTTACTGGTTTTTCCTCCCAAGTAAAGAATAGAGACCTTGCTGTAAAGAAATAGTATCTTTTATCATCACTATTTAAGGAAAGCAGAGGAGAATTGATAAGCTCTTTCTTTTTTTAGATGTATATGCTGATCACTAAGCAAAACATCCATTCAAGAAGTCCTACTAGGAGGAACAAAGTGTGTCACATCACAGCTATATCTTTATTAGCTGGTAATTTGGTTCAACAGGGAGTTGAACAACAGATGGAAGTACCTGTCGCTGAGGCTCACTCATTGATACCATACAAGGTATTCAGAATCTGCTTATTATTCTTCAGAATAGATTTAGTTTTAGGCTAAATGTTGTCTTTATCCCATTCCCCCAGTATACCCACACTGTCTGAAAGACCAGTTTAGACCCCCTGGAGCACATTTGTTGCCTGTCCAGAGTGGAGATTTTCGTGTTATTTCTCCTGAAAGGCTTCTCTTCCCTGAGATCTAAGGGCAACCCGCAAACTCAACCAGTGCACAGTAAGTGGGGACACTGGGAGCACCCCCTTCAAAGTTACACTCCTGCTGGAGATGCACCGTATGCTATTACTTTAGAAAATACTCTTTTCTATTGGAAAACCAAATTAAAAAATGGCCTTATTTGAAGAATGCATTTGTTTTGTGAATTAAAAGAATCTCTCCAACATGGTCTAAAAGAGCTACTCAACAAGAAAGCTGTAATCTCTTGCTGGACCAATACACCTTTTAGATTTGTTACTTCCAAACAAAAGAGAGAAGACGTGAACCAGAAAGCTCAGCTTGCTCTAATGCTACAGGACCACCAGAGAGAAGCTCTTATGGGGCAGTGACCTGTGAGGAACCCTGCTCTCTCACAGCTCAAGTTTCAGAGCTCAGCTGCTTTGAACTGATGAACTGCAGGGCCGATGTGTGGGAGAGATGACTCCTAATGCTGAACAGCAAAATCCAGACTCCAATGGGCTTTGTAGCTGGACATCAAACACCTCGAATGGCAAACAGAAAAAGCAAAACTGTGGTTACAAAAACTACTATGTTATGTTAATGCGGCTAGCACTGCCATGCTACTGTATTTATTAAAAAGACAAGTGCTTCTCTGTCATCTTTCAGGAAAATGTCAGACAAAAAGTTGTGCCAATATCTCACTTGGAGGAGCAGAATTGGAAAGAAGGCAGCCACAAAATTTTGTTCAAAGGGAAGAGAATTTGGATCCTTACTGTTTCCTAGAAGTTAAATTGTATCACAAATAGTCAACATGTCAACATCAACAGGTCAGATCACATCTGCACTATCACGACCTTGCTCTGGCCATGCTGCTTAGATGTTTCTCCTCCTCTTCCCACCTATGAGAATCCTACCTTTTTTTTTTGTTGTTGTTAAAGGAAGCTGTGCAGCTGTATGTTTAAAAGCAGGAGACACCTTACTTTCTCTAAGGCGTTACTCATTTTCACAAACGCTTTAACACACAACAGGTTTTTCCCTAGATAGCAGACTGCAGTTTCTCGGTCTGCTGTGAGCACCTCCAGGGTGATACAGTGAGTGAGAGAGTCAGTAACGAAAGCAGAAAAGTCATCACGACTGAAGCTTCCTGATGTGGCTTTAAATTATATTCATGAATCACAAAAGATAGGAGTTTTGAGGGAATGCATTAAGATTTTATTTTTATCTTTGCCCCTGGGAAATTAAATCCAATATTAGTAAGTCATGCAGACAAATGGTTCATTTTTTAATCTGAAGAAATTCAACTGTATAAACCATCCTCTTTCTTTCATATGTTTTCTAGATTAAACTTAACTATGGCTCTGTTGTTTTTGTTTAGTTTTGCTAATTTCACTGATGATATCTGTAGCTGTAGGTCTGACTCCCTAGAATTTTGATTCCAAGGTTGGAATTCCTTACATTTTCCTTATTCTGAGACAGGTGGCATTCACGGAAGTTCTACAACAGATATTATCTATTGGGTATAATCCATGGATATCCTGCCCACAGCAGAAGAAAAAAGAAAGAAGAAAGGCTATCAGATTGCAGTTCCTATGAAGGGATGAAAACAGTATTGCTATTTTATTGAGATGTTAACAGAACCTCACTCCAGATCAGAGGCTGTAGCTGTAAATACCATGTAGGTAGTTTGCACCTTCCACAGTATGACACAGTAGCAGGATAAAACAAACATTTCTGGCAGCTTCATTTTCAGAAAATGCCATCAAAATCTTTGAAAGGAATTACCTAAACCATTATGGAACAGTTCAGTTTTGTTTAGTGGTTTGTTCCATGTCCACTGAAGACTATGGATAGAAGTCCTTCCCCGCAAAACGATCATTTTGCTTACTTCCTAACAGACAGCCAGTTCTCTAAATATGGTGTACAAGGAAAGGAGGTTGTATTTCAAAGGCAGTTGAAAAGTAGTCTATTATGTTTTGCTTGCTGTTTAATACCTTCAGTGACAATTAGTACACCGGTAATAAGTGTTCCTTTCTATAAGCATTACTCAGAAGTTCATGCAGAAATGTATGGTTATTTCTCAATGTGAAGGGGTGTCCTCATATCCATGCATTTATTTACTACAAAATAAAGCCTGATAGATGGAAAATATAAAAGCTGTTTGTCTAATACTGCAGCAAACTCCAGTGTATCAGCCTATACATAATAAAGACATTTATCTTTTATTCACAGAGCAAGGTAACTCCAAGACAGCTACTTCCTATCTTGATCAACTGCAGCGTTTTAGGTGTCTGCAACAACAAATCAAAACTGATTCCCCTGGTCCTCAACTGGGAACAACTCTTTCAATTCTGAGGTAAAAAAGCACAAGCGTTTCTGCTGTCCAACATGCTCTTGGTCCTCAACAGCCAACTAGCACACTTTGGCAAGCAAAATGTAGTCTATAGCAAAGAGAAAGCATAAACCACAGGTAAGGTCAAAAAGGCTTCCAGGCCTGAACATACAGTATTAACAATACTTACATTTTCTGTTGTTCCAGTAATTACATGGAGACCATCATATGTTGATTTAATGTACATACCCTAAGAAAAAGACATCATGGGAAAGAATTTTTAAAGTGTTTCACAAACCATCACCATCCAAACATAACTTGCATATCTCTAAAAGAAAAGCCTTTTTTTTTTTCCTTTCTTTTCTTTTTTCTTTTTTTTTTAGATTTGTGGACTTTTAATATACGCCACGAGGAATTTGTCTCTGGTTAGGAAAGTGCTTTCTGATACATTTCGAGAACAACAGCCCAAATTATTCTGGCCCTAATTAGCAACAGCAAACTAAAACTTTTACCACAGTCATCTCCATAAATACTCCCCACTTTTTTTAATATACTCCTTCAACTACAAATATAACAACACCTGATTACAAAAAACCCAGAATTACAAATTGCCTTAGGATGACCAATACTTCCATTTTGCTTTGGAATCTACAGAAGACTTCAAAAGATCTGGAATCTCTGGTAGGCAATGCTGCAAACATAACTTTCAAACTGATAACCAATGCTCTGAAATGTGCCTGCAAAATGGCTCTAAGACTTTCTGATAGCCTCACTCATCTCAGTGAAGAGGTCACCTATAAAACTCAATGATGAAAACATAAAAGTTAACTTTGTTAGCTATCCCACTTCTTTCAAAAATATATGGAAAAGGAGGGATAGCTTATGAACAGAAAGAAGTTCCTGCACGGGTCTTTTCATCAAGTCATAATTCAAACATTTTAACAGCATCCACTAAGACAGTGAGAGAAGAAAAAAGGAGAGAGAATTGGCATACACTGAGCATTCAACAACTTCTGAGGAATCTCCTTTCCCCCAATCAATTCATAGAAAGCAGGTAAATATTGAGCACTTGAGTAAACATTATCTCCATAACCTACTTTTTCTCCTTTTAATCAGAGCGCCACAAAGAAGTCTGTTCCTAGCTGAGGAACAGGGGGCATTCACTGGTGATTAAGTATGGTAAAGAGGCAAAGAAGACGTATCAGTTGGACTAATCCAATTTGGGACCAGAACTCACAGACGTCTTGCTAGTGGGGACAAGGAAGTACCCCCCACTTAACAAAGTGGATGATATGCCCAGTAAAAAAAAAAGGGACTTTATGAGTTTCTCAGGAGAGGGGGCTCAAAACTAAACTCCTATTTTGCTCTGCACAATACGTAGCAGTTATGGCATCAAATCCAGTTGTCATGTTGGACTGTCACAGCTAGAAGAGAACAAAGCAAGAATCTGCTCGTTACTACACAGATAGGAAGCCTGTAGCATCATTCTTCAACTTCCAGCTCCTCTATGCACCTTCAGCAATTTTTCCATTGATTGGCTCCATGCACGTAGTTCCCTGCTTAATTCAGTTATCTCAAATACAGAATGGCAATTTCTTATACATTTATCCTCACAACACCCCTGTGAGGTAGGGAAACACTAATATATACACATTTTAGAGACAGAATAATGAGCCACACAAGAGGCTGAGATACATTAGTATCTGTTATTTAGTACTCATACCTACCCCAAACCAACAAAAACCAAGGCCTAAATCCTTCTCAGGATCTGGATCTAAGTGACCTGACTATACACCCTGCAACATGGCAAGAGCTGAAATCACGGTGACTTCACGCTGACAGGAGCTATGAGTCAGGTCCCCATACTGAGCAATTTCTGAAAAAATTCTCGTCTTTGTTTTTATTGACAGCGAGTTACTGCTTTCAACTTAAAATGTCAGGGTAAAAGAAGAGGATAAAGTCTCATACTTAATGGTTACACAGTGTTTAGTTTTGTGCAAAGCATTATTCTGAAGGATAGTAAGGTCATCGTGGCGGAGTGCAACTCATATCTAATCCAGTCTTTTCTAGAAATTTAAAAGACTTTGAAGAAGCAAAAGAGGAGAAAGAATCTTTGCAGAATTTTCTTTAAAGGCTAAGATCAAGATTTGGCACGCATTTGGAAAGAGAGGTAGGAGGGAAGCTGCAAAAAAAAAAAGAATATTATTTTTATTCCAGAGGTGCAAAATTAATAAATGTTACACTAGTACTATGCCACATTAATTTTGCAAGAGCCAACACAATTCTGTTTACAAAACAGCTTTTAAATGGGGAGAGGTAACATTTTGCAACAGAAAGATGAGCTATGCTTTCACCCACGTTCCACTGTGCCTTGTTTAAAGTGAACAATATATGGGAAATGGTACAGAGAAGAGAATGTTTCTGGCTTATTGTTTGATCTGGAATGGAAATAAGAATACTATAGATATTTACAAGTTTTCCCCGCTCTGCGTCCTTGTGGCTGCACAATATCAACAGTACTTTTAGTGATCAAGAATACAGGGGAGATTAGTGTGTGTGCTGTTCATTTGTACTGAAACAAATTGGCAGATACACCTCTTAGGTATACAAAGATAACATCATGGTCCCTATGAATTTACAAGAATCAGTTAGGTCAAATAAAAGGAAAGATAATTTGGTTAATATGATTAAAATAACCATAAGGTAACCAACCCAGGAATCCAGAACAAATGTACACCTAGACTAAAGATAGGGTAACTCATGCTTAATTACATGCCAGCTTGTCCTTCCTGGTCAGTTATGGGTAGAAGTCTAATTTCAAACCATACATTTTATTTTGCTGCAAAATATTATTCAGTTAAGGGTTAGAAAAGAGACCTTGTACCTTTGATCTTTTTTTTTCTTTCTTTTCTTTCTATTTTTTTTTAAAAATGAAAACAGAATCTGATATACTTTTAACATATTTTATGCAATGCTGGATGGAAAAGAAAAGAAGACGCTGGTTCCATTTTATCACACACATATAACTGAATTTTTACTCTTTCACTGTGACATCATCTTAATGGAGTCCCCCAAAGTTGCACGTGCCTCTTTAACCCCAAGCAGTTCTCAGAGCCGTGTTCATAGTTTTTTCCCAGCTCCCCCAATATTTCAAGCCAAATAACTCAGAAGAAATATTAGGAACAGCAGTACACCAGACTCGTGGAAAATACTTTCTAGCTAGGCAGCCAGCAGTGCACCTTTAACCAGCTGCCACACTCTGCTGTATCTATGACTTGTATTTTATGAGTGCTTCTTCACACAACAGGCTCATTTTGTGTTTGATTCAGCAGGCAAAGAGGAACCCAGAATAGTCAATCTCATGTTCTGGTGTATTCACCTCTGCATTTTTGAATCTAGCAAGCTAGGTGAACGGCTGCTACCTGAAATCATATCATACTACCTGAACTGACTAGGATCAAAATGATAATATGAACAGGAAAAATTGAAATTCAGGATTAACCCTTGCCACAGTTCTCCGACATTCTGTTCTATATTAAAAAAAATAAAATAGAAAGGGACTGTTGAAAAAAAACTTCCCAAGGAAAAGTGGTAGCTATAACTTGGTTACCTGCTTTTTGGCTAACAAAAAGCATATGGTATTGTACTTCTTTACTAAATACACTCACTGATTTCAGTCAAGCAGTTTTATTTTTAAGTCTGTTTCCTGTCAAAAGATACTACCTAAGCTAGTCAGTTTTGTCTCTTTCTAGAACATCAATAGTGTAAAAACACATAAAATTAAATTCTGCTTCATGATACAGATAAAACAACTTCCAAGTCCTCAAAAAAAAAAGGAAAAAAAAAAGAAAAAAGAAGGGGAAAAAAAAAAGATGTGATTACTCATGGAACCATGCTGGTGATTGCAAAGCTGATCACATTAATCCATTTCAGAGCTTTTTAGAAGAATTTTCTACTCTGACAACTCCCTTTTCACCCTTACTTCACAACCACTGCAGGCCGTATCTCTTCCTGCAGCAACACTCACTGGAGGATACGCGTATGCAGACAGTCACATAACCACACCTGGGCAACAGACCAGGGATAGAGGGAAGAAAAAAAAAAAGCAATACCAAAACCCACCCACCCATAATGTTCCTTTACTCAGTACACAAGAGTTTCCCCACATCACACCCTAACAACATTTTCTGCTTGCCAGGTTATTTAGTCTGTTTCTCTGATAGGTGTTAACCAGTTTTAATATCTATAAGACATTGTAAACCCTGTAACACAATTACCTTTTCCTTCTGCATTAAGGTATTAGTCTGGCAATTTACATTTACCTCTGACCGATACTTACGTTTCCACAAAAAAAAAAGGTCAGACACAGTGAAGGAATTCTTTGTGCTAATTAAAACATCCTGATAGTGTCCAATGTGTTTTAAGTCATAAAAACTCCAACCATTTTCTCAATTCCGTCTTGTATTTACCATATGAGTTTAGGGAAATAGCATTGTTTTCCAAACTTCTTATTTCCTTCTTTTCTTTCCTTTTCCTCTCCCTGATTTACTTTAGCTTCTCAGATATTAAATTTGAGACATGTTAGATATTCTGCTTATGCTAGGTGACAAAAAAACTTCCCAGTTAGCAGCCATCCTTGTCCTTTTCCTTCTACTTGAAGTCCTTCCATCTTTATAGAAGATTTTATTTAGTGATTGGTAAAGTCAGCACAGAACTCTCATGTGGGTCAAATATCTACAAGAGAGTTGACATAATCCATTTTTCCACCTCCATCATTGCACAAATCCTGGAATAAGGTCCAGAAGTTATCAAGCTTCACATTCATCCAAGTGCTCCTGATGTGCAGAGGATATTCACAACTCCAAGCTCCACCATCAATTCTTAAACTGACACACTTAGCACTCAACAGGGCGGTACTGTTATGCATTCGCTGTATCTCAGTTGAAAGATTTAGTTTAAAAAACAAACAAACAAACAAAAAGCCCAACTACCCAAAAGCAACGCTTTCATACAGAGTACCAAGAGCAACCTGACAAAGATGATCTGTTAGTAAGACTGGCACTGTAACAAACTGAAAGGTGTGATATTTACCCTCCTGGCGCAAATATATCATCCTTAGTTCCTGCTCTGGAGAGCTCACAATCTAGAGGAGACAGCCCAATACAGACGCCACACAATAGTGGCATACAGGCAAGGATGAAGGGGGAAAAAAAATGACCATATCAAAATAGCATTGTATCTTTCTATAGGCTCGTATACTCCACAGTTGGTATCTTCCACTTTCAAAAAATACATAATAATAATTTTTATGACAACGACATGGTAGTGCTCAGTCAGCATGAAGACCCTGTTCAGCTGGTTCACAAATACGTATTAAAAGAAAAAACCCTGCCTTAAGAACTTCCAGTTTAAACACACAAGACAGACAAAGAGTATACAACAGAGGCACAAAGGGGGAAGAGATTCTCTATCTAATCAGCTACCCAGCAGGAACAGACCCACGAAACACATTCTTATTTACAAAAATACTGCTCAACATTTTTCAGTCACTGGGGGTTGACACCACCCTACAGAAAGACTTAAATGAGGGAAAAAAAGAATAACAGTCACGAGACAGAAAGGAAAATTAGGAAGAGCTCAGATAAAAATGGACAGAACTCCAAAAAAAGGTGGTTGAGAGAAAGGGGAAAAACATTTTCTTCATTACAGCAGAAGATAGGATTTTGAAAGGTTGACTGCAGTGAGCTGGTGGAAGAGATAAAATTACAGGAGAAAGAGAGGGAGGAGAGAATCCTGGAGGACTAGTTTGAAATGGATTCAGAGATAAAAAAGAAAGCCAGTGGAGGAAGGAAAAACAAATAGCAGACTAAAACAAAGGATGGGGCAATATTTACTCATCCAAGTGTTTGGGTTTTTTCTCATATTTTAATTGTGATTTGCTGAAAGAGTGGAAAATTAATTTAGTGTATAATTGCTGTAAATACCTTGGCATACCAAATTTGTCAAAAAACTAAACCAAAATCCAAAGCCCAACAACAACCAACCCACAAACCAAAATACTCTTCAAAACTACACCATCCAAACAACTTCAAAAACCTGCTGCAAAAAGCACAGCAGTAGTCCTTCTTACTCAAGAAAACGGAATGAGAATAACCTTGGTCAGAAGTTGCAAAAGCTATTTCATTAGGCAAAAAATGGTTAACTGTATTCTGATCACCTTCTACTACCGCCAAGAATTGTGGGAAGAGATATTATTAGTGATGCAAAGTTGTAGAGCTGTAATTGTTATCAGTGTTGTTTTTTCCCATGCAGTGAGTGTTGGATACTTGAGTAAACAAAAGATCAATGGTCAACTCTTGAACAACATGCGATGGCTGCACTGAGCCTTTAAAAGCAACTGATTAAGCATGCAGAGTTCTTGCAATAAAATTCAATAAGCTACTTCTCAGCAGTGCTGTAGAGCCCTTGAATAACTTATAAAATAGCTTTATATCCCAAAGACACTATGAAGCATATTCCAGAATTTGACAGGTTTTGTGCATAAGCCCACGCAAACTTCTTGGTTGAGTTGATCTTAGTAATTTAAATCCCTTCAGACTTCAAGATCCTAGAACAATCTGAACCATTTTTCAGAAGCTGGTATAAATGGCAAGAACTTCTCGCTCATTTCTTCCTGTTCACTAAACTCTCTGCATACATCGGTCAGCCTTACAAAATACTTCCCTGTTGGCCCAGCTGCATGAGAAACCAAACTAGCAAAAGAAATCAAACTATTTTCAGACTTTAAAATAAAAAAGGCTAAAATGTCCTATTCCTTTCCATATATACAACTTATTTTAAAAAAATTCACTTTCTCATCCTGGATGATGGGTTTGATTAACTGCGTACTTCTTACCAGCCCTTCACTTGGCTTGATGTTTGTAAGCTGGATCACTTCAAGGTGAGCAGACTGGGAAACCAGCGGATCAGAAGAGAGCGAGATAATGTGATCACAGACGCCAGAGAGAGTTTTACACTGGGAAAGAAAAAAGAAAATAAAATGTCACAATAAGCATACCATTGATAACTATTTGCATATCAATCTACAACATAAACCACTGCATTTTTAAAGTTCATATTAAATCACATTGCTGAATCTACAAGGCAGAGAGAATGAAGGATGAGGGGGAAAGGCCTCAGTCAGCAGCTCAGTACAAAATCCGTTTTCTGTGATGACCCCGAACTGACACAGCGTCAGACCAGGGAAGAACAAGAGGCAAACACTTTTGCATCTGCACAGAGAGAAAAAGGGACTGCACAAGCTGCTCCCATGCGCTCTCAGGGTTAGGTGCCCTGCCTCCGAGCTGTACTCAGGCACGCAGGGAGCGTGTGGTGAGCTCCAAGC